TTTTGATTGTCATGACTTGGGAAGATGGCTACCAGCACGTAATGGGTAAATCCCAGGGTTATTATCCTGCTGATTATCCTCCCACAACAAAGAATTATCTAGTCCAAAATGTCATGGAGCTGAGAATGAGAAGTACTTCAAAATAGTAATTATTGACCTGAATTGAATCACAAGCTGCTTTATTTAGTTGCCTGGTCCCTCTACATTTTCTGTTTGTGTACCTCCTTTTACTTCATTGAAAGTTACTTAAGTAGAAATCAAAATACCTTCAAACACTATTTATTAGAAAAACAATGACAAATTCATAAACAAGTTTTCTGTTAGGAAGAGTATTAGAATCCAAAATTAATTTTCCTCAGTTATCTTCGTTCTTTCAGTTGACATAATGCTTTCTTTGTACTCTGCACTGCAGTAGATAAGAGATAATCAAGTGTGCACATTTTCTAAGGATTATATCTTAAAGATTTCTCCCATTCATTTATCATTATGCCATGTTTTCATCCTTGGTAACTTTCCTTGCTTTGAAGTCTGCTTTGCCTGAAAAAATTTTTTTCTTTTATTACTCTTATTTGGTGGTATTTGGGTTTGAATTTAGGGCCTAAGAGTGCTCTACCATTTGAGCCACACCTCCAGCTCCTGTAATCTACCTGTCTTTAGATTTAAAGTGATAGGTTGTTGTGGGGCTTTTTGAGGTGGTTTCAGTCCACTCTGAAAATCTTTCAACTGGTACATTTTGAACATTCACATTTAAATGTGAATTAAGGTAAATTTAATTGATTATTCTTATATTTGCAGCTGTTTTCTATTAATTGAATTTGTTCTTTGTTTCTTTTTAGGTCTTCCACTGTTTTTTCTGCCAGCTATGGTTTTAGTTGTGCTTTTGATATTTTTTTCTTCTAGTTACTCTGTCAGTGATGTTTTTAAATTTGTGCAGGGTAGGGAGGTATTAGTTTGTCCTGGAGTTTGTAGTGTGCATTTACTAATATAAGTCCACTTTGAAAGAGTACTGTATATACCAGTTCCTGGGACATGTGGATACCTTAGGGCAGATTCACATTTCTTATGTTTTGTCCCTTAGAACATTGCTGTCATTTCACTTAACCTTGAGTTAAACTCATCCAATGTATTATTGCTGTTAGATTAACTAGAGTAAGAAAATAAAAGGTTTTATCTTCATTCTTTCTCTACTCTTCCTTTCTTTATGTAGAGCCAAGTTTCTGCATATATCATTTTCCTTTCTGAAGAGCTTCTTTAAACATTTTTTGCAAGAGAGGTCTACTGGTGACATGTCTTAATTTTTGTTAGTCTGAGGAAGACTTCATTTATCCTTTTCAAGGATAATTTCACCCCATCACTGTCTTGTTTGCACTGTTTCTGGAGAAAAATCTGATATAATTCTTCTGTTCTGTAGACAAGGTGTATCTTTCTTCTAGCTGCTTTCAAAAATTCTTTGATTATGCCTAGGTGAAATAATTTTTCTTTAGTCTTTACTCTGAGAACCTGGGATAGTACTCTTAGAGATAAAACTCATGAAAGTGTGGATGGAGTGGCCCCTTCTTTAGGAGGGTCTCACACTCTGTTTTTATCACGCCTGTATTCCATACTCAGTTTGTAGCAACTAATCAGTTAACCTTTGTTTCCACCAGACTTTAACTTCTATTTCTGGTAAACTGTACATCTCTGAATTCAAATTTCTCTACAGTTTGGAGGTGCAGAGTTTTGTCTTTTGTCCTCAAGTCTCTGAAGGATGTAAGATGAGTGGTGAATTGTCAGCTTTTACATTCTTTTTCTTATTGTGAGGACAAGAGTGATAGCTTTCAAGTTCTTAACATGTCAAACTAGAAAACTCAACACAGCTGCAAGTTTATATAGAAGTTCTTTATCAAATTGATATTCTTCTCTATTCCTAATTAGTTTTTTACAGTGCATTTTTTACATTGTCAAATACTTCTCTTGGGTCAGCAATTAAATACATTGATCGACTTTGAAATACTGAGCAGCCAGCATTATACATCTGGAATTAATCCCAGTTGGTCAAGGTGTATGATTTTTATTGTTGTTGGTACTGGGATTTGAACTCTTTGCTTTGTGCTTAAAGTCACTTGTGGCTGACTTGCAGTCCATTTTGCTCTGGTTATTTTGGAGATGGGGATCTCACCAAGTATTTGCCCTGGCTGGCCTCGAATGGTTATCCTCCCAACCTCTGTCTCCCAAATACCTAAGATTACAGGTGTGAGCCACTTGTGAAAAGTCCCTGACATTTTTTTCCTCTTTTCCTTTTCCCCTTTTCTCTCTTCCTTCCCCTTTTTCCTTCCCTTCCCCTTTTACTTCCCTTCCCCTTTTACCTTCCCTTCTCTTTTTTCCTTCCCTGCGTCTCCCTCCTTCTTCCTTTCTTCATCAGATTATATAATTGGTTATATGTATATACATACACACACATGTATTTTATATGGCATGAGAGACTTTATAGTTTCCTCTTTTTTGTACTCATTAAGGAAATGCTAGTCTCATAAAATAAGTTTTGACATGTTCCCTCCTTTTTTTATATTTTGGAAGAGATTGCATATTAGTGTTAATTTTTTTTTTTTCCTCTTTTTGGTAGTTCTGGGGTTTGAACTCAGGGCCTCATACTTAACCAGGCAGATACTCTGCTGCTTAAGTTGCACCTCCAGCCTAGTGTTAATTCTTGTCTAAGCTACTGGTTAACGTCTTCGGTGAAGCCATTTGGGCTGAGGATTTCATTTGGGAGGAACTTTTCAATTACAAATGAAATTTATTTAATGGTTACAGTACTGTTAAGGTTTTCTATTTCATCTTGGTTGAGTGTTTTGGTTGGTTTTTGAGGAATTTCTCTTCATTGTCCAAAGTTTTGAGTTTATGGTTATAAAGTTGTTTATAATACTTTCTGAAAAATTTTGGCAGTCTAGGAATTGAACCCAACTCCACCCCCCTTCCGGTGCCCTTTATATCTTTTTAAAGATTGTAGGATCTGAACAAGGCATTGTGCTATATGCCTTTATTTTCAGCTCTCCAGAGGTGGAGGCGGGGTTCAAAGTCAGTTTGAGGCCAGCCTTGGGCTATGGGGTGAAATCCTGTCTCAAACAAACAATAACAAGTTGTAGAATTTGTAGCCTTGTACCATTGCTAATATTTGTAATATGTGTCTTTCCTCTTTTTCTTTTTTTAAAAATTGTTCCAAGTCTTGCTAAAGTATTATCACTATTGGATTTTCCCCCAAAGAACTAGCTTTTACTTAAACCAAGTTATCTTTTTTGTTTTCAACTTTCTGCTTGCTTAGGCTTTTTTTTTTTGGATGAGAACTTACTGATTTGAGACCCTTCTCTTTTTTTCTCCTTCCTCTTTTCTAATGTAAAAAATGAGTGCTTAAATTTCACTTAAGATTGTTAGGTAGGGTTTTCCCAGATTTTGTTTTCATGCTTACATGGCCAACAATACTTTCTCCCTTACTTTTTTCCTATAATAGCCAAAATAATGGGTGTTAAATGGTATCTCATTGTTTTGATTCATATTTTTCTAAGGATTGGAGATGTTGAATTGTTCATACCTTTTCATGTATTTATTGGCCATTTTTTTTGTCTATTGAAGTCCTAGGTTGTCGTCATGTGTCTTCTCTCCTCCCCCTGCCCTTTAGCTTTAGTTACTTTTCAAATAGGGTGTTGTGTTTCTGCCTGGTGCCAGCCTTGGACCTTTATCCTCAAACCAGCAGCCTGTCTTCTAGGTATGGTCATGGGCTTGTTGGTTGAGATGGGGTCATGTCTTTCTTTTTTTCCGCTGAAGTACTCAGGATCTTTCACTTGCTAGGCAGATACTACCACTTGAGTGTGCATCAGCCTGTTTGGCTTTTTTAGGTTATTTCTCACATAGGGTCTCATGATTTTGCCCAGGTAGGCTTCAGATTCCATTTCGTTTCCCAAGTAGCTGGGGTTACAGGTGTGCTTGTTTTTTTGAGGTAGGGTCTTGCTAACTTTCCCCATCCCCACCACCACCCAGCTGGCCTCCAACTGAGATCTTTATGTCTATGCTTTCTGAGCCCTTGGAATTAAAGGTGTGCCCCACTATGTTTTTAAAGGACAGATAACACTGAGAAAAACCTAAATTGCCTCTACAGCTTTTTCAACCAGAATGGGTAGGAAAACTATACCTTGTTTTCCATCTTTTAATGTTCTATTAAGATGAAGTAATTTTTAAATTTATAATCTCAATTTATGCGCTTATATCATCAGAACATTTTGAAAGCAGATATATTTTGAGGTAGAAGATACCTCTCAAATTGAGCTCAAGATGTATCTAATATCATTGTGCTGAATTTGATTTGAGTAAGCGCTTTTGAAATTTTGGAATATATCCACATTCGTAGTTGAATTGACTACTTAGAAAGAATATATATCCAGGCATGGTGGCTCACAGCTATAATCTCAGCTATTTGTGGTTTGAGGCCAGCCTAGGCAGTTAGCATGAGACCCTATTTGAAAAACAAGCTAAAAAGCAAAAGGACTGGAGGTGTGGCTTAATTGGTAGAGGCAGATTTTTTCATCCCAAAGAGTGTAGCTCAGTGGTAAAAGTGTGTGCTTAGTATGTTGAAGCCCTGGGGACCAAAAATAAAAATCCCTAGGACCAATAAAAATACGGGCAAAAAAATACATATATACAAAGAAAAAAATTCCAGACAGGATCTATGAACATATAACAGACATTGATAAAACAATAATTTATAAGCAGTACTTTAATTTTATCAGATGTCATTTTGTTTCAGGTATTGTGCTTAACTTTTTCAGAAAGAATGTAATTATAGAAAAAAAATGAAGTTTTTTTTCCTTACAGTGCAAGTTGGTCACTAGAAAATTTATCATTTTCAAATAAGTTACCTGTGTATTAAGATGTTTCCAGTTATGTTTAGAAATCATAAATTACTCCCTTGTTTGAGTATTAGCTGATACAGTTTTAATAATGCTTATTAAATTATGTTGGTCAATTTACAGGTGAATTATGTAACCTCATTACGCTGGATGTAGCTCACAATCAACTTGAACACCTTCCAAAGGAGATTGGAAACTGCACACAGATAACCAACCTTGACTTGCAGCACAATGAACTGCTAGACCTCCCAGATACTATAGGTATGAGGGGAGAAAGAAGCTATTGATAGTTATTTATATAGCTACCTGGATATTTAAAGGACTTCTTTAAAAAAATCTATTTTGGTAATAAAAATTAGTATTAAAATTGAAATTCTCTAAGTAGTAAGTAGTAAAACTTCTAAAATAGTATTTTAAGTCACTTTTCCCTTCTTTTGTGGCAGTACTCGGGCTTGAGCACAGGACCCCATTCTTCTTTCTAAACGGTTGCACTACCTCTTGAGCCATGCCCCCCCAGGCCATTTTTCAGTTTCTTGACAAAGAAAATAATTAGACTTTGGAAAATGAACTTAGTTGAGGTTTATAAAGAAGATAGAGTATTGTGTTATATGTATATGTTCTTAAAGTATGGTATGAAGAATAGATAGATTTCCTGTTCTGCTTATTTCAAAATGTTACGTGTGATTATCTCATGTGGTTCCTTCTTTACTAAAGTAGGCCACACTGAAAAATAAAACCATCCCTGTTCAGTTTTTAAAACATAGCCAACATAGTATAAAGGTTGTTTATAACACTGAAGGGCTGGAAGAGAAAGAGTTCTTGAAGTTCAAATTGTGTTTCAAAGATTGCCAAAACATTGAATTGAATAATTAATAGAAATTGAAAACAGGATTTTAGATTTTTATTTATTTTTATTAGGTGGTACTGGGGCTTGAACAAGATTCTAGAAGTTTTAAAACTTTTGTTGGTTTAGATATTGGTGTGGTATAAGGATACTATAATATTTAGAAAAATTATATCTGTACTTAATTCACAATTTCAGTAATGAATATTTCAGAGGTGCTATTAATTAATCATTTGAGGCCTATGATGATATCTTTATCCAGTAGGGTTTTTAGCTTTTCTCAGGTACCTAGGGGAACCATTTAAGTCAGTCTATGTCCAAAGCTTAAGATTTTTCTGGTCCCTTTGGTAAAGCAGAGGTTTGTTGCAGACTAATTGGAAGACAGTTTTGTTTCCAGTTAACCCTTAGTAATAAGAAATAGCCATGAAGGGCTCCATTTTTGGCAGGCCCTAGATTTTGACTGTTTTCTTTTTCTTCATTTTTTAAAAAGTTTATTTGCTTTTATTTATTTTTGGTGGTACTCAGGCCTACACTTGGTAGGCAGGCACTCTGCCACTTGAGCCACACTCCCAACCCTTTTTTGCTTTTAGTTATTTTTTAATAAGGTCTTACTTTTTTTGCCCGGGACTGACCTCAAATTGTGCTCTTTCTGCCTAAGTCTCCCGCATAGCCTGGCTTAGAACCTGGAATAGCTGGGCTTAGAGGTTGAGCAACCATGTCCAGTGTTTTTAGGTTTTTTTGATCGTAGAGTTTGAATTACCTACCGTTACTTGTAATAGAAGCAGTTGTTAATGAAATTTTTAATAAGAGTGAATTGGTGTCTCAGGTTATGTGAGGCAACTATTTACCCACAGAAAAGCAAGTTTAGACTTCGATATAATTCCCAGCCATTCAACCTGTCTTCCTAATTCTTGGCCTGTGGTTCTTCCTATCATATTAGTATTTGTTGTGGTAACAGGTTAAGTATTCTAGTTTACTAAACTGGATACTTTGCTGAAAGACAAGATAATCTACACCATGTAATGAATTATTTTATATGTATAATGAATATTCTATCAAACTTTTTTTGTAAAAGGATCAGACTTATGGCTCAAGATAATAGATGCCAGCACAATTATTTCCATGCTTTTCTATCTTTAAAAATCTATTGAAATGGCCAACATCTGTTTTGCATTTTACTTACTCCTAGTTTCTTACAGTAGAAGCTTGAGGTTATTGATTTGCAATCTTCTCTTCTCATAAAGACATTTAATGATATTACTTTCCCATTAAATCTTATGCCTTAGCATTCCATAAATTCTTATATGTCATGTTTTTCTTCTTTCTGTTAATCATGTCTTATTCTGTTGTGAGCAAGAATATAACATCTGTGTCTTGAATTAGTTTAAATTTATTGGGATTTTATGGTTGGGTATATGGTCTATCTTGCTAAATATTCTATGTGCAATTTTTGCTGAGTATTCCGTAAATGTTAATCATTAGTCATGGTGCAGATGAGGAAATCTGAATTTATTCTAGCTTCTGACCCACCCCTCTTTTTTTCCTATTCTGTTACAATTTTTGCACCAGGACAGGTAACATATATTATGTTAATCTCTAATTCTCATTTTTGTTTTAACATTCAGGAGCAGTCCTGGTGGCATAGTTGCTTTAGTGAGTTTTTGATGGACTAAAGTCAGTCTGGTAGTAGTTTTTTCAAGTAGTTCATGGTAACAGTACACTTTTTATTTGTTTGTAACCTTTATACTTGAACAGTTTGGATGGGCTTAAAGTCATTAGATCCAATTTCTTTTCCTTGAGGATCTTAGTAGAACTAAGAGGTAGTTTTCCTGTCTTTTGGAATTGAATTTGACAAACATGAGCCCAGCCCAATTTTTTCCCCATTATAAGTGATACAATTTTTATGCCTGGCCATACAAAATTATTTCTGAAGTCCAAGAACTGGGCTCCAGTGGCTCACACCCATACCCCTGGCTTCATGGATCTGGAGAATCAGGTCCAGCCATCTCAATCAATAGCTGGGTATGGTGGTACATTCCTATCATCCTAGCTACTGTGGAAAACATACGTAGAAGGATCAGCAAGGCAGCCCTGACAAAAAATGAGACCCAGTCTCAAAAATATCAAAGCAAAAAGGGGTAGAACCATGGTTCAAGCGGTAGAGCAGCAGGCATGAAGCCCAGTACTGCCAAAAAAAAAAAAAAAAAGAAAAATCTTAAAACTCTAGTAAGATTTTTCTCTTTGATCTTTCAGGGCCACATTTCCCAGTATACTCTGGGACGACTCAACATACGCATTTTATTTTTGTTTCAGTATAGTTTTTAAAAATTACATAGTGACATGTGTAGTTTCTGTTGTATGTTCTTACATTGAACTACAAGTCTGTAAGTTTGCTTGCTTTGAACAACTGTAGAATGGGATGGTAAAGGCAAGAAGAAAGAATAATCTTAGCAGGTTAACTTTTCAATGGAACGTCACATTAAAAGTAATATCCATTTCAAAAATAACTTCTGAAATCCAAAATTGCTTAGTGTTAGAAAGAAAATAAAAATGTTGTTCTACTGCAAATCAGATAGAATCTTTTTTCCTGAGTAGCTAGGATTACAGGCGTGAGCCATAGGTACTTAGCCAGAGTATAGTTCTCTTGATACCGTTTTGTTTTGCTTTTTGTTTTTAAATCCTAGCCTATTTTTTTAAAGTATAACTAAAAATGAAAAATAAAAATCCAACTTCTATAGAGTTGATGCTAGTCCTACAGCAGCTGTCCTACTTTTATCTCCCTGGACTAAAGAATCTGGCTATAAATTCACGACTAAACATCATCTATCATAAGCATTTAAAAAAACCTGTTTTCTTTCATTGACTTTTTCTTTTGCATTTTGTTTTTCCAGATAATTAGACCAGGATAACTTGTTTTTCTTTTAGACATTGTCACTCATTTATTTTGCAGTTCTTTGGGAATACTGGGAGATACTTTCACATTATTTAACATCAACACTCCTTAAATAACTATCCCTATTTGCCAGCAATCACTGCCATTTATTCCCAGACTGAGTGCTGCTAGCTAGGATCATGATAGCTCATGGGATGTTGGTGAAGAGACAGAAAGAAATGGGAAAAAGCAGTTGGTTGCAGTAATAAGTGACAGTACTTAAAATATTTTTTCTCTGATTTGAGCATTAGTTAGTTAACCGTAGTGAAGAATTAAAAGTATATTATCGTTCACAAATATTTTCTACTTTAGGAATTGGCTATGAGCAAAAGAAAATATTAAAGCCTCCTTATAATTGTCATTTTATATCAGACTATGAACCTGATTTCCTTAAAGTCTTCTGGAATTTCTGATGGTTTTATGAAATCTGAAGTAGGCAAAATATTTTACTTATTTCTTCTCAAAATTAGATAGAAATTTGCAACAAACCTTTGCCTTCAAGGTTGAAGCACAGACCAGTTCACAGAGATCTTTTGTTGCACTGGGCTCTGGGGAAATGTCACAGTAATTATGATTATATCAGTAAGTAGAGTTTTAATAATTCAGTTTAAGGAAATACAGTGAATCTTATTTTTTAGTGTTCTTTTTAATAGTTATATGTTAAAAATTTATTAGTATACGATAGTTCTACAGGGTGTTTTGTTGTGACATTTCCATATATTCATGTAGTATACCCCAGTTTGGTGCATCCCCTCCAGTAATCTCCCTTTCTCCTATTCTTCTTGAAATGACTTTGACAAGTCTCAGTGTTCCATATTCATACATGTATAGAAAGTACCTCAACCATATTCACCCTCCTTTACCCTCTCCCTCCCACTTTTACCCTCCTCTTAGCGGCCAGTATTACATTCCCATCCTTCATTGTTTTAGTGTCTGTCCATTGGTCATTATGGTTTTGTCTTGGTATTTCACCTGTAAACATACTGTACTTTAGTCAGTCAAACCTTCTCTATTATTCTTCCTTATCCTTTTCCCCGCTCCCTATCGTCTAACATTTTTTGTTGTATTTCATTGTCTTCTTCCTACACAGATATGATGTATTTCAATATTATTCACTCTGTCAGTCTTCTTTTCCTTGTCTGTTAGTCTCCTATAACTCCCTCATTTGGAAACATGTTCTGAATACACACACACACACACACACACACACACACACACATGCACGCTACTGCTTGTATTTGGATCTATCCTCTACATATGAGTGGAAACACGATTGAATCTGGCTTACTTCACTTAACATGATATTTAACTCCACCCATTTACCTGCAAATGACAAAATGTCATTCTCCTTTGTGGATATTCAGCCATAGTATTCAATATTCCATTATTTATATATCTCTCTCTATATATAGATATATATATCACATTTTTTAAATCCACTCATCAGTTGTAGGATATCTGTTTCCATAGCTTGGCTATGGAATG